GAGAATTTAAGTAAAAGGCAATATGGAATAATCAATATGTAATCCGATGACTGATCTACCATTTCCACAGGTCAAAACGAACGAAAAATTGCTTCTTGATTCTCATTGCACTACTGCAACTCGGATGACATGGAAAGGTTTTGCGTATTATCTTCTTACACCCCTCTGTGGCAATGTAAAAGGCTGAAACCAACGACCTGGCGACCTTGCAGTTACCTGACAGAGTGGTTTGAAAGTTATTTAGACAAAGTTCACTTGTTCCTTTAGCTATGAAAATGTCCCGATAGCCAGTTTGGCCCCCGGAAGATGATACTTTTGGCTTTGCTATAAATGCATACCGGATAGATAAGCATAAGAAGTATTTTAATGAATTCACAAGACGATGTAAAAACGTCGAAAAAATGGAAACCCGTTATAAGGCTCCAAAATAATTTCCACTGGAATTGCAGGCTAACTGGGACAATCCATCCGGGACACTCACCTCACATGAGTAGCGTACGAAAAACCTGATTTAGGCACAAAACGAACGACGTGTTTACAACAGACGAAAATGCATTCTAATGATCGTCCACCTGGAGTTTTGATGCAAGAGAATGATAGAAAGTGCTCTGCAATACTCAATTTGAGCAGCATTGACATACTGATCAGTAGGTCTTAACATTGAGCGTAAGAACGACTGGAGTGCGAAGTTAGTGAGCAGTGATCTCGCGATTATCGCAAACGTATACAGATCAATCAAACGCTCGTTGACTTGTGTTGCTAATTGTTCCTTCCCATTCCCTGACGTTCTTTGATGTTTTCACACTCGAACAACGTTCGACCTTAACTGTTGTGAAACATATCAATATTCCTTGAAATTTACATTGATGATGCCGCTCGGAGGTCCTCATGGAATTCTGTGTTCAAGATTACAATTAGGGTCATATATGAAGCAACTTCACATTTCCCCGCATCCTTTTTCCAATAGTAGTCCTTCAGTTCTATATGGAATAGGGGCACTTAATATCAAACACATTTTTACTATGACGCACGAAACACTGAGACAAAAGTACAACCGCAATGACTAGGAAAAGATACCGTGGTGAAAAAAGCTTCAGAAGAGTGGCGATTCAGCTTCTGATTCAATTTTAAAACATTCCAATTGGTGCAAGGTAAAGATGTTGAGAAAATTGTTATGAGTATTACGGCAGCTATTTACTGCTGTCGTGACGCACTACTCATATTTGTGAGTATTGTGCACAAATGTGGTGGTTTCTTTCAACGATCAAAAATTAACAAGACTACCGACGGCACGTGCTATGTCTCAAAGAATAAATACCGACTGTTCCATGCATTACCCGGTATGCTGCCAGGAACTGAGTTGATATGTTTCAAATTAAATTTCTGCTACATGTCTGCTAAATTAATGACAGCGATAAACCACTTCCCTCGACCGAGCACCGCCTTGTGAATCTATAACTCTGCATTATACATTCATCACAGCAAACTCCTCATTTAACTAACCTGGTTGGATATCTCGCGTAGCACTCAATCCCCAACCAAGTTTTCTCCCATTGTAGATGATCTCGAACGGCAATGAACGCACCGGAGGAGATTTTCTTGCATGTCGCCGCTTTTGCAACGATTTAGACTCCGGAAGCTCTCCGAAATAATCTTTATGATCAGACAGATCGTAATCACTATTTGACGGGGAATATAATCCATTCAATATGTTCGCACAGAGAGACAGGTTCCGCTCAATGATATCGTTAACCGCACGCTTATTAGGGGTATTTTCCAGGTGGTTTTGAAGCTCGATCAGCTCAGCTTTGGCTTCCTCCACCCGTCCCAGTTCGATCAAGCATTCCGCACGACGTATATACAGCCGATACCGATTACGTTTTGGATAGTTGCACTAAAAATAACATTAAATGGAAAGAAAAGTGTAAAGGAAGTTTACCACCATGGAGGTATCAAACGCCATTTGAAATTGCCATGATAACATTTGCATCAGGAACTAACAGTCCCTTGTGATACCCTAGCACGTGACATGAAACAACACAAAGTGACAATCGCATTACCGATCAAACCTCCGTGCTGATACGGGACAGATTATCAAGCAACGGCCTAACCGATCTCCCTATACTGCGTAGGGTTCAAGATTCGTACATTGGTGCGACATCATATACCATCAATGGAATTCAATGGATATCCTGAAACCATTTTGTAGCATGACATCATTGTAGGGCGTTACACGTAACTAACAAAATGCGCTTTATCATATCGTGGAAAAAACAAGTGTTGCATGCGTGCAGCCCAAATTTAAAACCAGAAGAAAAAATCTGAGCTGTTCGTACCGAAAGATGCTCAAAGCCCAGAGTTTACACGACATATGAAAGGAGAGTCCTCGTTGATTACGGAGTCGAACACTGTCGAAACCGACATGATTGTAAGTCCTAAAATAGCTCTTAGAAGCATTTTCCATATTTGGAAAAATTGGAGTTCAACCGAAAGAGTGTTTTTTTGTCATACGCGGAATTTTGATTCCATTATCTGTGTAACTGATATGGCCACTTTAGGCTAATCATCCACCGTGTGCCCCTATCATTGTATAAGCAAGGCAGATTGAGACTAAGATTGTTAATCTTCTTTTACTTCCCCCTACTGAATATATGGGTATTCATCGATCAATCCAAGGAATGCCATATATCACAAAGTGAAATGGTCAGGGATTCGAACACACGTCCTCCGGGTGATCATTTGGTGACACTGACCGCTTGAACATCACCCGTGACGTTCACATGAAAAACAGAATTCTTGACATTAAGGGCTCATTGAAATTTACGGACTTGGCACTAACGGTGAGAACAGCACGATGGTCACTTTAATTGGGCTATTACCAAAGTTCCCAACTGTGAGAAATATTTCGGAAACGGATTTGTTGCACCTCAATCTTTATATAAGCAAACAAACATGGGACATTGATATTGTGATGCATGCTTTTGTCTAACAACTTGCAAATTTCTTCAACCTAGATGAGATTTCGGGTACAACCTCCATTCTCCAAACTGTATGGTTCATGAAAAAGCAACGATATCTGTGGAACTCTGCCGGAATATTGAGAAACTTCATTACATCCTGATAAAGAGCACAAATTATCTTACATTGTGGTTAACAACCAGAATTGCCGAATGAATCGCATCAATGCTGTGAAACCCGTGCAAAAACAAACCATCGGATTTGGGGCAATGGGTAAACTAAAAACGGAAACCAAGAGGTAGGTCTGAGAGCACAAATGGTCTGCTGATATTTCTTCCTAAAGGCCCCGATACAAATGAAACGTCGTTTATTATTTTATTTTTTATTATGAGGCCGATTTTTTTCAGTCAACCGTCAAATAAAGAAAAAGAGGTTGCACAGGTTGGTTATGACTGCGAAGTGGTACACATATAGGGGAACCCTCATCGATTTCACTGAACTGCTAGAGCACAGGTATTCAAATCCGATCATAAACGGTAAATAAAACCTGTGGGTCTCGGACACTCAGATGACAAGTAACACTTTGTTCTGCACGGTGTGAATGCACTGTCGATTGCTTCATGTTATCATTGATGAGCATTATTTATCTCTTTTCATTAATCGGAATAGATAGCTGAAGACAGCAAAGAAAACAGGCAACAAGAACAACGTCGTTAATCATTGTAAACATTGAGAGCTAAAACTGATTATTTCAATTTCCGTAAATGTCATCCTGTGAATCGGTTATCTTTGGAATTCAATAATTTTGTAGCGTATTCTTCCGGTCAGGGAAACGTTTAAGCTAACCTGTTTACGTTTATTAACAGTAGGCCATCAGGATCCAGAAAAGTGAAAAAGCAGACTAGACTGCACTGAATCACATTCGGCTTTATTATTATCTCCTAATGATAATTAACAAGCCTTGATGAGTGTTTCTCGCAGTGATTTGCCTGATTCGTTCATACCCAGCAGATGGAATGGCTCAGAATGTAGCGGATACTCCCATTTCGTAAGTCGTGGTTGTCCTAGACCATAATGAGTTAGGAGCTAACTAAAGAGAACAACACAATTTTTATTGACAGTAAATTAACAACGATAATAAATAGGATCATCCTTTCATTTTACTTCTTTTTATTGATGATAAAATGTGATCATTTTCATGAACGAGGAAGCGGCCAATCAAAGGGCTGCCATTCAACACAAGCCAGGCCGTAGTGGTGGGATTTGAACACACATCCCCGAAGTGATAATTTGGTGACGTTACCACCGGACCATAACCGCACACCGCATACCAAAATATGCTTGCATTAGAGAAAAGAAGCTATGGCAGCATCAGCATGGTTGGGTTTCCGTGGGTGAAATCTCCCAGTAATGAAGTTTCTTCCTCTATTCAACCAACGCTCTACGCTGCAACCAGTTCCACTTACTATTTTCATGAAAGCTATTTATTTATTTTGGTACCATGATGAGCAACGATTGAAGTTAAAGTACGGTTTTGGACGGGAGCAAACGGTTTCCAAATCGATATCTCTCTCGATTGCTTTCTTTGTATTATGCCCCGATTGATTGCATAGTACACTCGAGTGTTGTCCAGGCATGCGAAGTTATGACATCAATCACTATGAGGGACACTGCATGACACGTTATAGGGTCGAAACTCGTTTTTACGTCATGATCCACGTTTGTTATTGTTATTGAACACAAGACCAGACCATGTACGATCACTGATTGCTTTTCGTGTTCATGATCAGACCAACACAACGCAAGTCATGCATAAGTAAATACAGCTAGGGAGAGGGGATCATTAGGTCAAGGAAGTAAATCTCTCCTATTCATACACTAACGGATAGTTAACTTGCTCGTGGAAATCCCATCATCACAGGTTCTTACGATTCAACAGCGTATGAGCCTTCAAACGGGTTGCACTACATCCTACAGGTGGACGATACGGACTAGTGGGAATCCAGACAAAAGGATGTCTATAAACATTACCATCCAGCTCTTGCAAAACCTGTATGATTATTCACCAACCATAAGAAACAAAAAATACAAGTATACTCAAAGAAAATCATACTGAACGAGAGACAAAAGAATGTTGAACCCTGTATTCAGTATAATAAACGTACGCCGTGGCACAATTGGTCACTCGCACGCACGCACGCACGCACACGATGCAACAATACCCTGGATGATGATCGTTCTGCGCTGTGCCAGCAATTACGATCTTGAGGAACACACTCGAACTGAATAAGAAAATAACCATATTGAATATGGAAGGATTTTTGATACCCGATGTTTCACAAGATGTAGTAAGCTGATGGGACACATTATGCAATAAAACATATAGACAATCCAGAACGTGAGATAATAAGTCTATTTGATGTGCTTGTGTTTTAAAAACGGTAATTTCCAAGTCACCAAAGGGCTGTAAGTGCATTGTATAAGTGGAGAGAGGGAAGTAACCGATACCGAACCGAAATCATTCGTGCAACAAAGGAGTCCTACCTGGATTGCTCGACCAATATCTTTCAATGATCTGGAATAGCACTTTTTTGATTTCCACACCAGCGATCGATTGGCATAAACCAGGCTCTTCTGTTCGTCATTCACCGCAAACCTCAGAGCTGCGTCGTAAAAATGTGATGCCATTTTGTAATTGTTCGCATGCCAGGCAGCATTCCCAAGCTCTCGAAAATCGTTTGATTGCGATTCAAACCGTAGTTTATTCTTTGAACTGTCGCGAATGTTACGGTCTACAATAAACAATGAAGTGCATCGTTTTTCAGTAGCCTGACTTGTATAATAAAAAAAAACTTCAAAAATTGTTTCACCCTAACCAGATAACCACCATGTCAAACTCACCGGATCATACAATATGACAGTTCTATTCTAATGTGAAATACATAGCACTTGACATGTATAATAAATTCCCGCCATCAGATAAAAAGCTTAATTTCTCGTTATTTCTCTAGTTATATTCAATGGATTGTTGAACACATAAGCTCACTGTCAGTCGCACGGACAATCGCAAACACACGTTTTCGGTTGTTCCGATAAATACTTGGCAGATTGCATTAATTCCCACAGCGCAAGATGTTTGACCCGTGTGTCGAATACCGATGTTTGTTGCTTGCGAAAAACAACGTGACCGGAATGTCTCTAATAAATAAAATCTTTGCTTGAATTTTAACTAACATTAGGGCAGAAACGGAAGCGATATGAACTCAGAAACACTACGGTAGTGTATCTTACACATGTCTGAATCCAGACTGCGTACCAATGAAATTATGCTACAATAATCCTGAAAATGAGAAAGTTCCACGATCTGTTTGTGGAAAAGTGAATTTCTTTGAGGAATTCACAATCGGAGATTGCGGCTAGCCAAAGCCTAACCCACAAGACGGAGACGGTGTAGGAAAACAGCAATCCATTTGGAGCTGGTGCCCAATGCATCATATCATATGCTCTTTGACGTGGTTACATGTCCAAGGTGAACATTGCACATCGACGGCCAATCTAAGAGGTGACTACTGCCACATTAAAGATATGGGGCAGTCTGGTTCGCATACCTCTTCTTGGCAGGTTTTGTAGTCGAAGCTTTCAGCCAACTCCCCTAGGTGAAACGCTAGTGGTTCACCGGCCGGATGTTGTCTTTTTGTCCCATCACTTTGATGGAGAAACATCTCCGCCACGAGAGCGCAGTGAGTAGGGCTTCTTCAGCGGAAGCCGTTTGAGGCGCTTGGTCGTATAGGAGCACCTTGTGGGGTGCAAGATAAAGGTGACCAGACACAACCAAGGGCACCAAACCTGACCATACGAAGAATTTCGGAAGAAAACACCACGACGATCGATTAATGGCATACACAATGCGCTACAACCGCTGTGACGGAACCCTATTCAAGTGCAGTGAGCTCTACAGACAGTGGCGACCGAGGCAGTCATTTGAGTATGATGAACTTGCACAAAGAAACATTGATTACACTTCAAAGTGGACAGATAATGAGCACAATTCTTTAAAGTATCAACCAATGTCCTGCACCTCAATGTTATTGTAAGCATTTGGAAGAGTGCTGTTGGACCGGATGATTAGCTTCTCCGATACGCACCATCCTCATCACTTTGCTTGCCAACCTGCAATTCCCACTCAAGAAGCCGTTTCACATGTTTTTCCTTTTGTGGCTTCGGTTTCAGCTCAGGCCGTTGGAACGGTTCACTCTATATGCCTTGATCATGCCAGTGTCTTTGATTCCTTTTAGCCTTAAATCTAACTGAACTCGTCGCTAACGGTTACAGCATTCTCATTTCCAGCACTGTTAAATATCTCGGTGTCGTTCTGTCCCACAACAGCATGCGCTTCCTGTACTTAATTGTGTTGTCCCCTTTTTTCTGTCAAGGATGAGAACGATTTCATAAAAATTTCCAGAAACATTAAACTCCTTCATCTAGGTTGGCTTTTTATGTGCAGGCATTTCAATGAACGAGAAAGAACCGCTGATCGAATTTTGAACAATTAAGCTGACTGCTTGCATATCGAACTGCTTAAATCTGTGTCAAACTCCTGTTTCCGATCCCATTGAAATCTCGTACTTACACAGACCAGTTTTGGTCCAGTTTCAATTTGTACAACCCTGAATTAATTTTGGGCGGCGGACTTGGTTGCTGTATTCTGGCTTCTTATTTGGACGAACAGCAGAAGACAAGGAAGTTAGAGGTCTATTTGGAGAAAAAATATAGAATTCCAGTTGACTAATGTTGCAAAGATAGTGAAAAGTTATAGAAGCACCATTGTTGTCTCTCGTCGAAACTATCAACAAACCCGGCCCCAAGATCCCAATTACAAGATAATTGCAAACGGTGCAAGTCAAACGGGAGTCGAAAAGGAATAAAAGCGCTGTTTATATGGGGTTGATCAGTTTGGTCGTTGTCAAGAGTCGAGTTGGCAACGGCACCGATGGAGAAAATATAGGATTGCACATCCAGGAACCTAGAGAAGACGCCTACGGCAGAATTTAGAGAAGGGTGAAAATACGGTGTACAATACCTTGACCGGGGATAAAATTAGCCGAATTCTCACGTGAGCACCCTTCACGTGCGACAGACAATCGGAGGGGTATAATGCAAACAAGAAGTAACGGCGATTCCTGTGGTTTTCAACAGAGCATCTGTCACCTTTCTTGTAAATCAATATGATAAGCAGTTGCCAAAAATCAGTCGGAACATGTTCCGTCTCCCATATTGTACTCAGACGTTTTGTCAACTACAAAACCAAGCAAAGCTAATCCTTCATCCTCCATGCTATGTAAACAGCCCAACGGAACACTTTGGACCATTCGAGAAAGACCCTTGTACCATTCATCGGTGATTCCAGGTGTACTGAAATCAGTTGATTCTGTAACTGCTGACTCAAAATTATCCACTGTGACCTACAACTCAACGGGTTACTAACTGGAATCCAGTTAGGAAACGAGGATCAAGTCGTGGCACCTAGGGCAATCTCGACACCAGCAACACCGCGAGCGTCGAATTCCGAATTGCGGACACAAAGTGTGAGGAAGAGGCTGGTGATGCGTGTTTGGGATACACAGCACACATCCAAGTTAAAAGGTTCAAGGGTTGAACTTTCCCTTAGTGTGCGGACACGTTTATTTACCGGAGTCACTATCTTTAGGGGCTATAGTATGTAGTCAGAGGGAGCCATCAGGAGCCTTATCAGCTTGCTTTGTGAGACTGAGCTTTGTCCGGCCTCTAGCCATTGACCTTCCAGTCATTATAGGATCTATGGCTGTGAAAAACCATCATATGTATCTCTCACGGTCATGAAGGAACGCAAGCAACACACCATGTCAAGGTGAAGTCTTGTGGTGATCGCCCGAACACAACCACACAGAAATGACATCCTCCCATATATTGTTCATCTTTTGTTGAACCAACCATCAATTATTGCAGGTTCGACTGAATAGTTTTTGAGTTAGTTGGTTAAACGTTCGCTATCTACTTGTGGTTCGCGTTGTGGTGTCCGTTTAGTTGCTCTGCGCTGCTGTAAATTCTTCTTCTCGGTTCTAGTGTACTCTGGCGAAAATCACTTTAATTTCTTCGTTTGGGGGCACAAAGCTTTTTCGGACTTAACCTAATCACACGAGACCCATGGATGCAACGGATCTCACTGAAAAACTTGGGCTTGGTGCCCATGAACATTGAGGAAATTAGCTTATCATAGCCACGAAGTTCGGTGTGGCTAAGATAAGCAAATTTCTTCAACAAACTTGACTTAACTTGACTGTGATATTCAACCATTTTGTGGGTGGTTCAGAGGCACGTAGCAGAAATGCTGGGAAGTTTACTTTTTTTAGAGATTTATGCGTTGAGTTTCGGAAAACGGTTACCGTTGTATCGATGGTTGTTTCGTCAATTTAGATGGTACTATATTCTGATTCGGTTCAGTAAGACGGATCGGTTAGTCAATCGTTCATTAGTTTTTATACTTGTTGAGAAGTCTATGCTCCCTCCTTGGAAAAACCTCAATGTGTTACTTTCCTACGAGAAAAGAAAAATGTACATCATATCTGTTGAGATGTATCTTCGCATCGATCGAGCAAACGAACATTAAAGTTAAACACATTATGAATAGCTAAAAGTTAGTGAAGATTAGGTACAATCCGTATGAATGCTAGACACCAACAAAACGAGCAGTGATACGATAAACCGCCCATGACATACTGAAGGCATTTGTTTCCTCGGGGAAAGTTGGTGACACTTCCCACCGCATTAAAATAAAAAGGAACACTTTTCAACACAAAAGCTGGGTTTCCAAAATTATGATACACTTCCAGGGAACTTTACAAAATCAGTGAGATCAACAGCTCGATGATTAAAATCAATGTGCTCTGAACACCGCAGATAAAAAGGCATTGGGCTTTACGAGGGCAGTGCAGTTCATAGACATTCTAAAAACACAACGACAGTAGTACTACGTCGTCATCGCATTGTATCATTTATGTCAGTATTATTTAGCCACACAGAACGGCTGAAACATTGAAGACTAACTTTACATCGAGTTTTTAAAATGCGTAAGGCTTAATTTTCGATTCCTCGCGAGATTTTCGAGGAACTCTGGCTACACGAGACATAAGTAATTGACAAAGAGCCCAGACTGTGTGACCCAATGTACCCCTCACCTACTCCATAGCTCCTCCCGCATAGTGAGGAAGCACCAGCAGATGAACGCACTACAATCCGAAACCGTGGAGCTCTCAATCAGATGGGAGTCTAAATTCTCTCCGTGAATAGTATCCGGTAATATGCAGGTCCTTCGCGCAGCAGCATGGATCCCGAAGTGACCACAATACTTATAACAATTTAGTTTTGAGTTGTCACACGCAGATGCCAAGCAGACTGATGCTCTAGTTACCAAGCAGAAATGTTCCGTGGAACTCTGATTTATCTTACGTGCAAACCAACGCTATGACATTCACTGGTTTGCCGATATTAAAGCCAGACATAGAGGCAACGCTTTGCAGCAATTTCTTAGATATGTTGCTTGGTTCTAGACCGGAGCGGGTACCATCGAAAAACCTACACAACTACGGCAACAAAACCACATACCTCCTAGAATATGCGTTGAGCAATGACAATTTCATTAACACACGCCTCCGTGTTTTCGCTCATAGTTAAACTAATACAAAACTGAAATGTTCATCAGGACTATTATCGAATTACACGCAGAA